TGCAAAGTTGCTCAATTTCTCAACATCTGAACATATGTTCTTTACTCTCCATTCCCGGGTAGGATATTTGTGTTCCCTTTACATAGCCTAAGAGACAACTAGAGTATTTGGGGAAGGGGTACAGTTTGCCCCCCAAAATAATTTAAACTTGGAGCTTAGAAAAGAAGGAAGGCAGTTCTTCCCATTTTTGCCTATCAAGGCTAAGCAAAGAGATCTTGGGACCCATCTCCAAAAAGCACCCAGTCACAAACCTTTGGATAATGAGTAAGAATGGGTCATCCCAGTCAACCTGTACAAAGGGCACTGCACATCCAGAACTCTCCACTGATGAAAACGCAACTTGGCTACTGAGAGTTAACTTACACCCCCGCCAAGCTTTGGGGGGCACAGATTAGAAAAGTGGCAATCATGGCAGACACATGTTCCTTCTCCCATGAGTTTCTTATCGGGCTCCTGAAGTTGAAAGGCTCTCAATCCATTTTTAAGGAATAAAGAATTGTCCCATTTTTCCAAATCTCAGGTCCTCTGAACCCTATAAACTGGAGAGCCCCACAAGGCTCTGGCTGTGGACCTGTCTTACTGGAGAATCTGGGAGGTCCAGCACCTGTCTGATTCCCTGGCTTCTTTTGACTGGCAATGCCACAGCTGCTATCATATAAAAATGGAGCCAATATGTCCTTTGCCACTGAATCTGCCCAGGAACTTCCTTCTTATCCCTAGAGATTCAGCTCCAGGGTCACTTTCTCTGAAAAGTGTTCTCTCTCCTTGGGGTCCCACACTAACTCTTCCTCACATGTTACTTTGTGTTCCAACCCTTCATTCACTGATCTAGCTCCCTCAGGGCTGTGGTCTTTTGACAACAAGAACTGGCTTATTCATCAGCATAACCCCACTGCCCAGCACACAGCAGGAGTTGGAAAGGTATCAAATACATTAATTAGGAAATAAAACCACTGCCTAACTCCCTCACTCTGCAAGCAGTGGATGTGTGGGGCTTATTTTCAAGGCTCAGGCGCTGTATAAATGCTTGGCTTCATGGCGGGGGTGAGCCAGATGAGCAGGATCAAAAGGCAGTTATTTTTTCTGTTACATGATTAAAACTCTCCTGAATGCCACAGGATTACAAGAGCCTGAGGAACAAGATGTCAACACACTTCTTGGGGGAAAGCCCCAGCCCTGCTGATGTTTGTGTGGTGGGGCTTTGTAGACCTCCTGCTGTGGATACAACACTATCCTGGCACACACCAACCCAACAGAAACTCCTCAACCCACCCTCACGCAGCATCACTGCTCCTCTTTACTTCTCTCCCTCTGGGTCAAAAGCTGGTGGTGAAGTTTGGGGGGGTAATGAGGCTAAAGTGTCTCCATATTCCAAAGTGACTTCTGTTTCTCAGCTCTGCTTGGTAAGTGACCCTAAACACTGCTTCAGGTCCCAGAAAACTCATCAGTCAGTTTTCTGGTCAAATGCAGTCAAGGCTTCAATGCAGCCAAAGACTTCTCCCTGCCCTAGCTGGTTTGGTTAAGTGGACAGAGCATTGGCCTGTGGACCAAACGGGCTAGGGTTCAATTCCGGTCAAGGGCACATGCACAGGTTGCGGGCTCAATCCCCAGCAGAAGGCGTGCAGGAAGCAGTCGATCAATGATTCTCTCTCATCATTGATGTTTCTGTCTAACTTTCCCTCTCCCTTCCTCTCTGAAGTCAATAAAAGTATTTTTAAAATAAAAACATAAACTGTATTTCTATACACTACAGAAAAAAAAATTTTAAAAAGACTTCTCCCTGAGTTCTCTGTCAACCCTCCTTGCATCCATCTCTATGGATTCTGAGTCCAGCAGTCTGGGTACACCCAAACATTAGCCTGCTTGTTATTGTTGTTGTTATCAGTAACTCTGCAGATTGCTATACAACCAGGGCTGAAAACCAGAGCTCTAAGCAATAAACTAACTAGCTATTTTCCTTTTTTATTCTGATCCTCCCAGTAGTGAATCCAAAAATCAAGATCTTGTGCCAGCTGCATTAATCAGAAATATGGCTTTTAAGTGACTTATTAGACCTCCTACCTCTCCCTTCTTTCCTAAGGTTTTGCACCAATCCAATCTCAAGACCACCTGTGTGCCTCTGACTCATGAGCCAATGGCTGGTCCCCTCCACCCTAGAGATTATTGCAATATCACCCTAGTTCACCCCAATTCACACACACTTGAGGTTGAGCTCCTTCTTCAGAAGATCATGCAGGAACAGAGGGTATAAGAGAGTCACTCTTCATTCACTTCTTTATTCTTTTATTGAACAAGCAGTACTGAGTACCCATCATGGGTCAGACATGATGGGATACAACGGTCAGCAATACCCAAGAATGGACCTATAAAAAAGATAGAACTGGCTTATGTCACCGGCATTTGGCAAGAAGCCTGAGCCTAGCTCTGTTTCTTCCTTTTCTCTCATAGATCATCTAAAACTAATTCCAGATCCATGAGTGCATGTCTAGGACTGAGACTGGCTTTGTGAAATCTCTGCACAAATACTGCCACTTGTCACTTATTCCATTCTTCAATGTTTGATACAAGCTCTCCTTATTCATAAGTGATTAAGCACCAAAAAATCATTTACTCAGAATGGTTGAGGCCCAAGTCTTTATCCCCAAATAGACTTTGTTCCTATGCAGATGTTGGTTCTGGTCCCATGTGGTAATTACATAGTTTGAGGAGTGATTCTTCCATGACATGTCCATACAAAGGGTATTAATTAACCCATTTCCTCCCTCATTTAAGACTCTTTCTAAACTCACAACCATAAGTCAGTAACTTTGTCCATTACATTGGTTCTATATGCCAGCACTAATGAAGATCCCTTCTAACACAGGATGTTCCCCAGATACCCAAATGTATGTGAAAATACATTCCCAAATTGGGCTGATTAAAAGCCCAAAACAATATGTTTGTTTCCATCACAGATGTGAAGTCTGATATCTATTCCTAGGAAAACTGCTGCCAAGGAATGACTCAGCAGCTGACATTAATGCAGCCATTTGCTTTTCAGTTTTAACTTTACAAATTAAATTGTAAACTAAATGGATAAAGGCGACCCTCTCCAGACACATTCAGGTTAAAGCCTAATTGACTGCCAAAGGCTCGAAGTCCTTAAGGGGGATGAAAGTAAGGACCCTGGCCAGGGTTAGGATGGGGATGTCAAAGCCGCATTCCTTTGAAAATGGATTCAATACCAAAAAAAAAAAATTAGGGAACAAATAATCTACGGAGACTTACAACAGGAAAAACATGAGCAAAGCAACAGATCTCAGAGGCATGCAGACATAAGAGGGCATAAGGAAGTATATCAAAAAGAGATATGAGCCACACATGGCACGTTCTGAGATCAGTAGGGAAGGGAAAGTGATATGTAACATCCAGTTGCTGTCGTGTAATCCCACATCCTGGTATTTTCCCTCGTGTATTGGGAGTGAGTTTTTTTAATGCCTGGTTTCAACTTGAGTTGGACATAAGGATAGGTTGACATAACGAAGTGATATTGCAGGCAGCATTTGGAAAGGCAAAAAGAAAAACATGTTCTGCCATTAGCCCAAGTAAAAGGCAATGTCGCTATGTGTGACCCTAGCCAGACTGATGAACAACTATAGACCTCAGTCCATTTATCTGTAAATTGGGGCTAAATATGCCTGCCTCACAGGATTTTGTGAGGATTAAACAAGATAACAAGTTAGATTAAATTCCTTTCCTCTCTTTAGAATAGTTTTAGAAGAAATAATTGTCAGGAAAAAGGCAACATAGTTGGCTGAAAGAATGAGTGTGTGAGCTGAAAAGACCTAAGGCATTTAAAGAATTTGGACTTTTTACCTACTACACTTCAGGTCCTTGGGGTTTTTAAAAAATGAACTCACATGCTTTAGGTCAGCGCTGATCTTTCTGTGATGATGGGAATGTTTTATATCTCTCCTGCCCAATGTGGTAGCTTTTGGCTATTGCACACTTAGGATGTGGCTAGTGTAACTGAGGAATCACTTTTAATTTCATTTACTTTTAATGACTTTAAATTTAAATAGCCAACCATAGCTAGTTGCCATCAAAGTGAATAGTGCTCCTTGAGATCTTTCTGATTCTAAGCTTCTCCCACATAGTCTGGACTTGGGGAAGCAGAAGAGGGTGAGTTTAAGCACACAGGCTCTGGAATCAGACTGCCTGCACTCAAATCCCAGCTCTGCCCCGGGTGATCTCATATAAGCTCCACGTGCCTCAGGTTCCTCATCTATACAAAAGGAATGCTAATGTCAACACCTGTTACAGATAAGAGGCTGGGGGAAACAAATAAGTTACTATAAGCAAGGACCTCATGGTTATTCATCTGATGAAAACAGTCCTCCTAATTCATTACAACTATGTACTTACTCCTCTGCCTTAACCACTAGGTTATAAGCTAAAACACCAGTACCAAGAACCATGATGGCACATTTAGACTCTCATAAAATAAGCATTTAAATAAGTGTTGGAGGGAGGGAAAGAAAGAGGGAGGTAGGAAATGGGGGGAATAAGGAAAAATGAATGAAATAGGCATTAATGTTTTTCATGAAGAATGAAGAAAGCTTCTAAAACAAAATAAAATTTGACAGCTTTCGATCAAAATTTCATTGGAGATGACCGTGGGAGATGAAGGTGAAGTGAGGTGCACTGGGGGAAAGCATGCTTCCCAGTAATGGGCTGGGAGAGCTCTGAGAGAACAGAGAGAGGTAGCTGGACTTCGTTCCACATGTATGAAAATACAAACTTCAATCCTTAAAAGTGTGTGCAACCAAGCTTCTTCAAGAAAACACTGTTGCGGGTCGTGTGACTTTACTTGTCCATGTTATTATCTAATCTAAAAGGCACTGTTAGGAGGGGAGTATATGTTTTGTTGGCTCCCCGTTTCCAAGTTTTTATTAATACTACATTCACCAGTTCCCGCAAAATAAATAAATAAATAAATAAATAAAAAAAGCAGTGTCGGGCAAGTTTTCATAACTGTTTATTCATTATAAATAGTAAATATTTACTGCACTTTTTACATGAAAGACATTTTTACAACACATTGTTGTTGGTTGAGGCTGCAACACAAAGATAGATCTTCTCTTCATCCATCACCCACTAAGACCAATGTATGAACTAAACTCGGGACTATGTCTAGTCTCACTAACTCACTATGTCATAGTTCTTAACGCTAAAGGGAATGTATTTGTGCCTACCTCGTTCGTGATTCCAAGCATAGAAAGAAATAAATAACACTGCCTTCCCCCTGCCTGTTTGTTTTAACATCTCCAAAAACAAATTTATTGACATTCTACAATGTCACCACAATAACATATGTAAACCTCAGTTTCTAGAATCTTTTCATATTGGATATCATTGTATAATTTAAAAGTACAGGAGAGCCATGTGGACATATCTGCTCTTGCCCTGCCTTTCCTAGAAAAGAGACGAATGTAAACGTAGTCATTTTAAAAGCATTGTTCTCCAATATGGTCTCTAGTCAAAAGGAGCGAGAGCCGGGTGTCGGTTGTCCAGCAAGTGGCGAATATCTCTGCATTTGACCACAGGGAATCACAGGCTGTGAAAATAAAGCACCTGCAAAAATATAGTTCTGATTCTGTATCTATGACCCTGGCATTGCCAAGGCTTCCGTGAGGTACACAGTATTGCACACTGATAAGCAGCTGTGGGAATGCACTCAACTCTCCACCCCCTCCCCGCCCAGGTGGCTTCCACGTGAAACTGAATTGCGAAAACCACACACACCTCTCCCACGCTGGGAAAGAAAACCGGCTTTTCCTCCCCTTATCCCAGGTCCTATTAGCAAGACGTGTTCTTCTGGGACATTTAGTAACAACTGAAGTACAAGTGAGGATAAGAGAACAAATAATTTATTTGGGAGGTCCTTTATAGCTAGTCTATCTTCCTAAAAATGGTGGCATTTATTTGTATATCAATTTCCAGTGTGTAAAAGTCAAGGATTCCTCCATGCCTGCTTCATTAAGGGAGCAGCTTAAAAGTTGTAGAAGTGTCAGCATTGGATATCAAGGTTATACTTTAGAGAATTTTCTGACTATATTTTAGAACATTCTGCTTGCCTGAACCAATTCAGATAGATCTCTCTCACACACCCACACACATACACACACACACGTGCACACACACATACATACATGTGCACGCACACACAAATGGAATGTTTTAGCTCCTTGATGATCAGCACTAAATGTTGGGATATTTGATATGTAGCCATGTTAAATCATTGCCTTAAAATGTTGCATTTGTCTTTACTGATCTGCGTCTTCCTTTTCTCCACGGCTTTTGTCCAGCATGTTCAAAAGAATTTGAAACCAACTACTGGAGAAAGAAAATAAATCATTCTCCTCTGTCTCCTGTCAAGACTGCCCCCCGAGAGGGTGATTTTTTTTTTCTGAGATTCTTCATGTCTCGGCTGTGGAGACTGGAAACAGGGCCAGTTTTACTCCAAGTGGACAGTCCACTTATGCGATATCTGGCTTGAGATAATGAAAGGCACCTGTAAGGAAACACACACAGCTCTTTAGGTCATGCTGGGACAATTCATGGCAAGGGGCAAAATCAGCTACAGGCTGACAATGTCATATTTAATACCGTGGTATCAAAGGATGTAGACTAATATTTTTATTCCTGAGACAAGTTTGACACAACTCTGTGTCTTTGGGATTATACTCCACATGATCCTTGAACTGACCTCATTAAGAACATGTGTTTCTAATGCCAAGTGTTAGTTCATTTTGGCCAACCCTTGTGTTTCACCTAGTGGCAATCAGGTTTCACATCGCAGCAATTAATAACCGCAAGATGTTGTTGACATCTGTTAAGAAAATAATTATACAAGCGAGTCCTTGCTGGAACCTCAGCCGGCTTTGCCCCAGTTGATCCTGAGATGCAAGGCTGAGTCAGGCCACCACTTCCCCTTCCTTAAGGAAGAGTTGGAATTTTGTACCCTTCCAGACGTAAATACCCCCTAGAAAGTCCAAGGCTTACTTTGTCCATACTGCCCATATTGGTAGCCTGTGACAGGGTCCATACTGTAGCCCGTGGTGCTGTAGGTGGGTGGACAATAGGACTGAGATGTTGGCAGACTGTCCAAGCTCTTCATATGGTCTAGTCTCTGACTGCAGCTGGCCGACACCGTGGTGGTAGGTTCCAGGCCCCCAGTGAGAGGAGAGAGAGCATAATCAGTCTGGGGCTGATGGGGTACCCCGCCGTGGTTGGTCAGGAGTCCCATTACCTAAAACAAACAGGTGGATTAGGAAGACGTGAGACTGAGAGAAGGACCCTAGCCTACAGCTGACAGAATAACTGGAAAAGTCCCATTGGGATTTCTTTGGAAATCTCCTGTTAAAGAGCTGTCCCGAAGAGGGTGACCTGAATTCAAAGTAGCAGAGGTATTACATCATGCTCAAGGATAACATCTGACTGCCCTTTCCGAAAAAGGAAAGGGGAGGGCATAGCGGGAGGAAGGGAAAAGAAAAAGAAGGAAGGAGAAGAAGGGGGGAAAGAGAGAGAGATTACACCATGACCCTAGTGATAAAACCGGACCTGGATTTCAAAGAAGGAGAAAGGAAGGAGGGACACAGGGACAGAGCTAGGGGGAGATTGCAGCTGTTCACATAGAATAATGTCTAACCATATATTACATTTGTTTCACCTGTGATTTTAAATATAAGGCACTTGCTTATATTTTTTAAAAAAGTTAAATGAATTCAAATCAAATTCTTTCCCTGTTTTTCGAGATCTCTGTGGCATTTTTCAAAGTTTTCCCTCTCAAGAAAGTTGCTCCCACTCTAGCTGGTTTGGATTGGTGGATAGAGCGTTGGCCTGTGGACTGAAGGGTCCCAGGTTCGATTCTAGTCAAGGGCATATGCCTGGGTTGCTGGCTCCATCCCAAGTGGGGCGTGTTTAGGAGGCAGCCAATCAATGATTCTCTCTCAATATTGATGTTTCTACCTTTCTCTCCCTCTCCCTTCCTCTTTGAAATCAATAAAAATATATATTTTTCAAATGAAATAAATAAAAAATATATTTTTTTAAAAAAAGAAAGTTGCTCCCTATCTTGGTGTCCTTCAATAATTAGAAGTAATTGCGTCATCCCTGAGGCTTCCTTGTACTTTTCTCACCCCTCCCACACTGTAATCCTCACTGCACCTACATTGAACTGTGAGAGACTTGAGGGAAGTAGCCTCACCTAACAGAGTGCTTAGCACCTAGTAGGGAGGGAGTAAAGGAAGAGAAGGAGGAAGGAAGGGAGTGAGGAAGGGAGGAAGGGTAAATGATTCTCCAAGTAACTGCGTCCCTTGCTTAGTCTTCCACTTCTTCTCTAAACTAACGTTTCCCTATAAATAAGTGTTAAATGAAAAGCCTGAAATGCAAGCACGTTATAAAAAGTCCACTCAGTTTTGTAAATAACCCTAAAGAGCAAGAGAACTTTAAAAAAAACAAACTGTGATAACAGAACAACTTTCAGATTAGCACGGTGACAAGTTTCACAAACTCAAGCTCGCTGACCCTTACAACACCTTGTTTCAGAAGTAAGTGGATAATTAATTTTGCAGCTGGAAACCTGTCACACAAGAGAGGAAGTGATTTTTCTCAGGTTCATACAAGTCAATGACAGGGCTCAAAAAGCAATTGCAGAAAAAAATCAACTGCTGGGTGTAGAGCCTCCTGTGCTTACAAAATATCACCTGTTTACATTGTATGTAAACGCAGGGGCCCACGATGGTCCGGTATTGCCATAACAGTTCTGGTGTGTTTTACGATGTTTGAAGGACATGAAGCTTAAAGTGTACCCAGAAGAGCAGGAGGAGGGGCAGTGATGAAACCCGATGCCTGACTCCAGGCCTTGTGCAGGCCCCCAAGGAAATTCAGGTCCTAGGAGCTGGGATCTAAGGGTTCCAGCAAGGCAGGCAAGAGAGACTAGTCTTGCATCCCAGTAATTACATTCCAAAAAAATGATGAGGCCACAATGCCCTTTGGGAAGGGCGTGCATAATCCTCACAGCTAAACAAAATCTTCCTGAAATAAAGCTTTAAAATGATCCGCCTTCCATTAGCCCAAGAGATGAGGGAGGGAGGGAAGGATGAGAGAGAGAAACCATCTTCTGTGGATTACCCTTCTCCACTTCTTTGTCATAATATCCAACTTTTTAAAGCCATTCCTAGATTTTCTTGAGCTACGTGGTGAAATATCTTTTTAACAAGCTCTAAAAATTATGTATATTCCAAAAAAACCATCATATGCAACAGAGCATAGTTTTGTTTTACTGGTGATTTTAGGGGAAATGAAAATCACAGAATAAAGTAGGAATCCATAGGATTCACAGCTCCAGGAGAATGGAAAGCCACTAGAGCCTGGGCTCCCTTAGGGACCTACCCTACAGTTTATAGTGAATTTACTTCATTTCTAAAAGCTGAACGTAGCCTACAATGCATTGAAGTTATTTCCCAAGTGTTCTTCCAACTACATGGTATGGGGGTTTTTTTCCCCCCTTTTTTGCCTTTCTTTGAGCATATATTGATGATTTTACAGTGCATACTTGGAAAATTCATAGACTTTAATTGATAATACTAATTTATTTAATATTTTAGTTCAAGACAAAATTTATGTATGTCTATTACAATAAAAGAGTCTTTAAAATAGAGGTTGTTCGATGTCGAATGCATTCTTTTTAAATCAGAGGTACCTCTTTGTGTACTGGCCTAATGGGCAAGAATGGATAGGAAGGATTAAAAATACAAAAAAAAAAAAAGTGATATATTTTTTTTCATGAAAAGGGGATAATAACACAGGGTACAAATATCTCACTGTAAATAAGCTGTGCTAAGTAAAAACAAAACAAAACTAGAAAAAAACACAAATTTTTAACTATCAATCCATAAAGAAAATTATCCAGTAGTACTAGATAAAAAGGGAGCATATTTTAAATTAATACATTCTTCATGAAGATATGTACTTGAAACTCAGTTTATGGTATGTCACTTTAAGGAAGAAATGGAATATTCTACATACAGTTATAGTTGGAGAGTAAGAGCAGACTTTTATTCAAAACATGCACACTCTCCCATGAGCTACATGTACATTTTTGTGATAAACTTTTTTTAATCCTCTGCTATACATTTCTTGTTTGCATAACTTTGAAAGCAGCAATAGCTTTGACCACGGGGTGGGGGGGGAGGGGAGAGGGGACCATAAAGATTCTAAGAGAAGAAATGAGTCCTTCCTATAAGCAAAAACCAGCTTATGATGTTCATGGAGCAACTTCTTGCAGCTGCTAAATTTAAAAAGAAAATGGTGTATAGGATTTACATCTAAGACCTTGAAACATACCTATTGAAAGAGGGAGATATCTTTCAGGGTCATATTCTAGTTCAATAAAAAGATAGATCCTCAAAGGTTCTAGGTCACGGTGTCTTTAAGACATCCGGGAGCATGGCCCAATCAGAAAGGATGGCTGCCGGGTGAAGGAAAGAGAAGAGCAGCTTGTTGGCTCTTCCTATCAGTGCTGCCACTTGTCACCTTGGGAAACTAGTGACAGCCCCGCGTTAGCAATAGCTCTGAGCTCAGCTGCCCAATACTTGCAGTGGCTAATGTGCAGAAATTAAGGGGACCAGAGATCAACTGTCTTCGGTCCCTTTGACTTCCCTGATAGAGCCCGAGAGATAGACATTCCCCCACAAACTCTTATCTCACTGTAAATATCGCTATACTGTAATTGTGATTTGTTTCTCACGAACTGTATGAGGATGGGGAAAGATGCACTAATATTTTCCTACAGTTGGTCTGAAATTAAAAGTAATAAATAATTATAACTAATGCAATTCACTTCAATACTTCACATTGATAAGATGAGAAATATACCTATTTTAATAGATTTAAAAATTAAAAATGAAATCTCTGTTGGAAAAAAAAATAGTGAATACATAAACACAAAATATATTGCTTTCCCCTAACATCATTTAAAACCTCAAATCTCTGTGGAAGGGTCACATTTCACTTTTATGTACGTTGCTTTAAAAGCTATTTTGTATTTCATGTGGTTCAAGGGAAGCTATGAAAATTTCTATTTGCTGCACAAAGAAGTTGGTAAATGAAATTCTTGGAATTCCCCCAATATGGTTTTGGAATGTCTTCCAGTCATACGTTTGTTTGTTTTTTCTCTTTTAGCATATTGTCAGGATTTCTTTTATATATCCTTTTCCTATAGCAATTGTAATTCAAAATCATAAAATAAAATCTCAATTTGTTGCAAAGTGTGTTCTTTTCCCCCATAAACCATCAGTAAGTTATTTCTACTATAGGGATGGCATTTTTGCCTGATTATTTTGGGGGGGTGGCGGGGGAGGTGCAGGGAACAAAATTGCCTGGTTTTTACACACTATTTCAAAGGAAAAGAAATAAACTAAGGGCTACTCAATTCTGTCTACAGAACACTGACCACATTATTAAATGCCAGGTAAATCCAGGAAGTACAAGGACCAGGAAAAACATTGTCCTTTGATGAAAATCTCAGTTCTGTCCTTTGGGAAAGGAATGTGGAGAAAAGGTTAGTTTTTCTTGGTCTTTATTTTTAAACATATTTCTATTGATTTCAGAGAGGAAGGGAGGGGGGTGAGGGAAACAAACATCAATGATGAGAGAGACTCATTGATCGGCTGCCTCCTGCACACACACTACTGGAGATCCAGCCTGCAATCCAGGCATGTGCCCTGACTGGGAATTGAACTTTGACCTCCTGGTTCATAGGTGGACACTCAACCACTGAGCAACACCAGCCGCATGAGGAGAACTTAGTTTTTACTTTTATTTGAGTACAACTCTTAGGGAAGGCATCTAAAAAGACAACTATTAAGGATATTTTTAAATTGTTACCTACAAAAACATTTCCTAGATACCGTGTCTAAATTGTTTTATGGATAACCTTTACAAACAAATCCAAAGCCTTGGAATCATAAGCTGATTCCTTCATCATTCACATTATTAGAGACAGTTTCTGAAGATCTCCTTAAACTCATTCTCAAATTTCAGAATTCCAAATAGGCTGTTTATATCTTGATTGGAAGATTGTACGGTTCAGGAAAAGCTAACTCTTTAGAATTGCTTCATGCCATATATCTCTTGAATGAATTTTCCTATTGTTAAGATTAAATATAAAAGATAAAAACTATGGGCCAAATTAAGATCTACATTTAAACAATGTGTCTGAAAAATATTTGTCTTGGCGTAAGCATT